GCGTGTTCCTCCCGCAGCTACTCGCTGACTGCCTGACCATTGTCATCGCCTCCAAGATGGGCTCCGGCTTCACCCCGGAGATCCAGGCGACCTTCCAGAAGTTCCTGGCCGTGGTGGTGTCCGCCCTGGGGAAGCAGTACCACTGAACCCGGCGGCGGCGGCCCAAACCCGGGAGGGGAGCTCCGCGCCCGGCCGGGAAGCGACTCTGACTCTAGGAAGAAATAAAAGCTGAGAAAAAGCAGAACGTTCTCCTGACTCCTCTGTTCAAACACCAGAACCAGATATGACGCGTTCATGTTGCAAAAAATAAAATAAGTAAATGAATCAAGTTTTATTCATTTCAGCGACGAGAATTTCACTTTTGTATTATTATTATTATTATTATTATTATTATTATTATTATTATTATTATTATTATTATAAGTTTCGGTTCTAAGACTCTGAGCTGTTTTCCGTTAGGGGCCAAAATATTAAATAAGAATATCAATTAATTCAAAATATAAACAATATAACATATTAAACATTTATATTCATATAGTTTGAAGCAACCCTCCAGACCCACTGAGGGAAAAGGTGTAAAGAACATGGATGGAAGTTTGAGTCGAATAAATCCAAACATAACTGATGTATTATTGTTTGATTTATCTGTAGTGCAAAAGTAACGATGACAATTTTAAAGAAAAACATCCATCAATCAGCGGTCTATTAGTTATTAACAGCTTGATATTTGTTGTTTTTGTAAGTAGGAAACCTAAAATTAATTTCATAAATATTTTCTTCCCGCCTGTTTCTCCTCCGTCTCTAAGCTGAACTTTCAGTTGCTGGTTTGATCCAGCAGGAGGCGCCATGTGATGAAGAGCAGCAGAAGCAACCAGAGCTTTGTTTGGAAAATCTAAATACATTTTTAAAAATTCATTCATCAGGAAATCATATCATCATATCAGAAAAAACAAGTTTAATAGATCTGGAAAAAATAGATTTTTACGAAACATAAATTCTCCTTTTAGCTCCAGAGACAGTCAAGGACAGATCCGCCTGATTTCATAATGACAATATCATAAATAACATCATAAATAATATTATGAATAATATTATAAATATCATCATAAATAACATGAGGAATAACAGCTTCAGCACCATGGACAGCGCTTCTTTCTTTTTCTCTTTCTTCTTAAAAATATTCATAATTTATAATAAAAAATCTAATAAATTTCATCTCATTCACAGTTTCCATCAGTTTTCTATAATATTCAGATGAATTATTATTATTTATTTATTTGATACTTTGCTGTAGATTTATTACAGATGCCAGAAACTCGTGATGTTCATTTTTCAACACATTGTTGATTTATTGGCTGTAAGGTGACGTCACCTGCAACCCGCTGGCCAATCAGCTGCTGCTCCTTTTCTGTCATGTTCGTAAGTTTTTGTTCTTCATTTTTATTCAGATTTCTTCCTCTGCTGCGTTTGGTTTTTCCAGCTCAACCTGCAACATGACAAAAGAAACTTAAAAAATCTGGCTATAGATTCTCAATTGGATTTAACGCTAAACTTTGACTAGGCCACAAAAGTCAACCTTTTCACTTTTGCTCAGACTGGTCGTTTTTCTGCAGGAAGCGTTCTGCTGATTGGCCACATGGTGGTGCTGTTGCTTAATTTACTATTTTTTCTGGTTCTCCAAACGTGGCAATGATTTTTTTTTTTTTTTTAATCTTCAATATGATCAAAACTTTCTAGTTATGAGTGTCTGAATTCCTCGTCATGGTTCTTCTGCTGGTTTTCTTTTATAACAGATATAAATGTTTTTATATCTTTGGGCCTTTACATTTTCAAACACACATTAGTTCACATTTTGGTTATTTAATTTCCAACATGTGAATAAAGTTTGGATGGAAATAATTTATACTTTCAGTGGATTAATGAAGTTTGATAAATTACTCTGTTTTAACGCTTTCAGTTTTATTAATAGTTATTTCATCTGAAATGTTTGTTTCTGCATAATCCATAACAACAAAGGTTTGGGCCGAGCACACGGCCCTGTGGTCCGCCACAGAGAAGCTCCAGGAAATTAGAATCAACATTGGAATCTGAATATATTAATACTTATGCTTAAGAGTAGATTTGTTGTAAAACCAACATGAAAATTATTTTCATAAAATATAATTTTAAAAATCTTTTTATCATCTCCAGTTTATGTTCATAAAACTGTAATTAAATGTGTCAACATAAAATTTAAAAAACATTATCAGCATTTTACCAGGAGACACAAAGAAAGACAAACGACGGGTTTAATAAATGTTTATACAATAAAAACAAAAATGACTCATTTATGCTGCAGCTGTTTATTATAAGAAAACCATGAAACAATAACACAATACATCATTTACATGTAAATATGATCCAGAATGGTGGCTGAGTCTCATCTGTATTTCTCAGAGAGAACGGCTGCAAAGGCTGACAGGAACTTATCCATCGCAGCGTGAGCGACCGGCGTGAACTCTGACCCCAGGTAGCAGGCCAGCGTGACGAGCATACAGTGAGAGAGCAGCTGCAGGAGGGCGAGAGAGAGAGGAGCAACGAATAAAAACTGGAGCAGAAACCAGCTGCAGGAGAAACCATTAACTCACATTCCAGAAAAGAAACAAAGAGGTTTTTATTCACTTATATCCTCCCCTTTAACCTGTGGGGTGCCACCAGGCTCAGTTTTGGGTCCACTTTTGTGTGTGTGTGTGTATATATATATATATATATTTTTTTTTTTTTCTCGTTTATCTCGTATCATATTTACGCTGATGACATTCAGTTGTATTTTTCATTCAGACCACCTGACAGGTCGGCCGTCCTCGTCCAGGGTTTGTCCGTATCAGTGACTCTCTGGTTCTAAACACCAGTCAGAAACTATGATTATTGCTCCCAGTCACCTACACAACAATATCAGCCGGACGACTGCCTCCTTCTGCCTGCTAGTGAAATCAAAGGTAAAAAATCTCGGTGTCATCATCAGGCTTCGACTCACATTAAGGCTGTTTCCTGTTCTTGTTTCTTTCATTTAAATCATTTCTAAAACCAGACGAATGCTCTCCAGAGTTGATCTGGAGAAAATCATTCATGCTTTTGTCTCGTCTGGATTACTGTGATGCCCTTTTTACCTGGATAAATCCTCAGCTTCACGTTTGTAATCTCCACAGAACGCAGCAGCCAGACGTCTCTCTGGAGATCCTGTCGTTTCTCTCCTGTTCACTGCACTGGCTCTGATTTTAGGATTCGTTTTAAAGTTCTTGTGCTGACATGCAGAGCGTTTGGCCAGGCTCCTGATTACCTTTGTCAACTTTTAACTAAATATTCTGCTGCTCGTTCTCAGTCTGAATCTTTTGCTTGTTCCAGGAACGGTTAAAACCTAAAGCGGTCGTTCAGTCGAGGCTGTGGAGCCGTTGGCCTTGCAGCTCCGTTTTTCTGACTCTGTTTTTAAAAAGCAACTAAAACATTTTTACTTTCCCAGGTTTTTATCTCTTGGTTTTCTTGTGTTTCTTCTGGTGGTTTTGTGTTTTGTAGGGTTTTAAGGTTGAATTTTATTGTACAACACTTTGTTTGGGCTTTATAAATAAACTTTACTTACTATATTGTTTCTAAAAACTGGCTTGAGGTCTGAAAGTACAGAAGAATATCTACGATCCACTCAGATCTATTATTTTATTTATTACCAACTAAATGTTAAAGATTTTTAAACATAATATTTCTACAAACCTCGAAATTCAAAACAGAAATTTGTTTATAAAAGCTTTTTCTGGATGTTTTTCTCCATCTGACCACAAGGTGGAGCCAAGCCAACCTCCGCCTTTGACCTTTGACTTCTACGTGTCCAAACTAAAGATGTCTAAATATTAATAAATGCTTATCATTAAAAATATTCTGATACATTTTAAATATGTTTTAGTTTTTGATAAATTGAAACAAACTTCCCCTAGATGTGTTTTTATGTTCTTTTTTTAATTAACTTGGATTTTATGAGATAAATCAACACAAGTCAGAGGTCAAGAGTGAAAAGATGTTTTTCTAATATTTTTACAGATAAAATCTGAAAAGTGTGGCATGAAATTCAGCCCTTTTACTGTGACTCCCCTGAAACCATTAATGTCAGTGTTATTGGTATTTTCTGAATTAAATAGTTTACTTTTGTTTATTATATGTATCAGATTTCTACATAATATAAATGTGATTACATTTTATAAAATATAATCACATTTATATTTGATTAAATGTCACTAATCAAACATATTGATTACATATAAATAAGTTGTCCAATAAAATGAATGTCCTTCACGACCTTTATCACATTTTCTTATTTTCCAAAACAAATTTTAATGTATTTAACCAGATTATACTCCACTGTGAAGTGGAAAGAAAAAATAAACGATTTAAAACATTTTATAAAAAAGTCAGAGAATCCCAACAGATTCACTTTCACAAGTGAAGCGTTACAGATGTAATATTTCACTTGATCAATAGATTAAAAAAACTTTACTGGGTTTATTTCAAATGCAACAAACGCAAAGAGCCAAAAATAAAGAAAAGAGGAAAATAAGAGAAAGAGGAGAAGCAAAATGTTTAAAGACGGAGAGAAAGAAAAGAAGAAGTTTGTTTCTACGGCTGCAGAGAGAAAAACCAAAAACCAGGAAGAACAAAAAGGAAAAAACAGAGAAATGGTTCAAAACAGACCAACAGGAAACACCCGAGTGTGTGTGTGTCTGTGTGTGTGTGTCTGTGTGTGTGTGTCTGTGTGTGTGTGTCTGTGTGTGTGTGTGTCTGTGTGTGTCTCTGTGTGTGTGTGTGTGTGTGTGTGTGTCTGTGTGTGTCTGTGTGTGTGTGTGTGTGTGTGGAGCCCTCAGTGGGTCCTGCATGTTCCACTTCCTCCTCAGCAGGTCAAAGTTCGTCTAATGAGCCGTTATTGGATCCAGGTGAGTGAAACCAGGGAGGAACTGACACATGCAGGATCCCGGGCCTCCAGGACCCACGTTGGGCTCCACTGAGCCCGGGAACCACGGTCTGAACCTCCGCAGAGACGAGTATTTTCTAACGTTTTAAAGACACGACTTTCAGATTAAAGTTTTAAACGCCGACAACCTGGAGGTGAAACTGTGAGAAAGTCTCAGGTGGGTTCCAGGAACATGTCTGTCTGGAGAGGATAAAGTTTCTTATGATTACTGACCTCTGACCTCTGACCCTGACCACAGACCCCAGCCTGACCTTGAAGTTGGTGGGATCTATCCGCAGCTGGTAGGCGTGCAGCGTCTGCAGCGGCGCCAGCGTGACGGTCAGCTGGCTGATGTCCTTGGCGCCCTCGGCGATGGCGAGGACGATCTTCTTCCCGTGGGAGCAGAGGTGGGCGGAGCCAGGGCTGATGTCCAGGTGGGAGAAATACGTCTTGGTGCCCGGATACGAAGCAAACATCCTGCAGGACAGAAGAACAGGGTCGTGTCCAGGTCCAGACGGCGAGAGGAAAAGAAATCATTTAGTTTATTTAATATAATGGTCATTTTTCAGTCATGTTTTCACCTCCTTATCCAGAACTTTATGAATGTAACAGTTCTAAACTAAATATTTCAGTCACAAACTAATCATTTAATTTGCAAACTAAATATTTAGTTCCAAATTAATATATTTAGATCATAAACTAAAGATTTACTTTGAAAGTAAATCATTTGAAAGTTAAATATTTAATTCACAAATTAGTCATCGTTCATATTACATGTTTACTTAGCTATTTAGTTTGCAAACTAAATATGTAGACTACAAACGACATGCTTAATTTCTAACTAAATATAAATAGTTTGTAATCTGCATATTTAGCTTACAAACTAAATATTTAACTGTAGCTACATATTGAGCTAAGAGGCTAAATAATTAGCTTGGATCCATAAGGAGCAGACCAGCTGCACAGTTTGCAGTCTGTCATCTTATCATTAATTACATGTTTAGTTTGCTAACTAAATATTTAGTTTGTGAATTAAAGGTTTAGTTTGGAATTGTGACATTTATGAATGAATGAATAACATGGTGAAAACATGACTTGTCGTATGACATTCTAAATAACCCAAATTACTACTGTTCAGTTTTACAGTGTAACAAAAACCATCCCAGACTTGAACTATTCCACCCAAAGTCATAATGACAGAGGCTCGTTGCTTCATCACAGATGAGTCGGGAACAAGCCGCCCTACCTGAGCAGCGCGTCAGAGCCGATGTCTGCAGCCACCGGAGTCAGACGCTCCCAGATCTCCTTAATCAGCTTTTTCTCCTTCTTGGACAGCATCCTGCCCCAAGTCACCGAGACTCTTCCCCGCAGTCATCAACCATTTTATCACTGCTTTAGCTAAACGGCTAACTGACCCTGTAACTAACTCACTCACTTTAACTAACTTTAACTAACTTCATCTAAGCCAAACGGCTGAAAGGAGCCAGAAAAAGGTCAATAATTCCTGTTGGAGGGAAAACGAGCCATGAAGCTTCAGCCTTGTTGATCTGCCTTATCAGACCTTCGCCAGCGCAGGGCGGGGCGCCGGGCAGGGCGGGGCGCCGCAGCCCCTGCTATCGTCCCTCTTCTGTGCTGCTCCAGTAGCAAACTGTGTCGCGTCTCCTGGGGATTTCCTCTAACTGAACTGAAGCCTCATCCAGGTTATTAATTAGTGGTATTAAATATTATTCACCTTTAGTTACATTATCTCACCTGAAGAAGCTCCTCGTGGCTGGAATAAAATACCAGAAAGCACAACAACATTATTCTGATTATTTTCTACTAATTTAAAATTATGGGTTAAAGTATATTTTAATGTGGTGAACTGCTGGAGCTTATGGCTTTTTATTCTTTTCAAATATGTAACCAAATATGTTTTCAAGGGTGTTTTTTTTTCTATTTATGATTATTTTCTCTTCTGCTTGCTAGCACTGCACCATCTTGTTTTTATATTGATAATAACATAAGAGACTACAGATGAAAACTAGCATTGATGGCTAACTGGCATATTTTGTAATGAGCATTTTGCTTTTGAAATAAATAAACAACATTCATCTTGTCAACACTTGACAACAACAAAAGACACTAATACGTCAACATATTTATGTTTAAAAACATCTTTTAATAACTTTAAATGTCAAAGTAAGAAAATTTTAACTTCAGGAGAGAAACAAACGTAAACATTGTTGAGCAGATAAAGTTGGTCATCTGCAGGATGGAGCGTGTGAAGCATCTCATAACACTGAGGATCTTCGCTCTGTCCGACCAGCTGACCCCAACTTCGGTTCACACTCCTGCAACTTTCAGTATTTAGATTAAACATGACCCAGCAGGTTTCAGACTGGTGAGAACCTCAAAATGAGCAGAACATCAGCAACTTTTCAGTAAATTTTTTTTATTTATTTTTTTTTATTTCCTTTATTTAACCAGGTAAACCCCATTGAGATCTAGATCTCATTTTCAAGGGGGACCTGGGCAGAAGTCTGCAGTACATAGCAACCTGGTTACAAAACAAAATTGATTAATACTACATATACACAATTATAAAACAGATTAAAACAATGCATCAATGTAGAAAAATATGATTTTTTTCTTGTTCTCTGCTGTTTTCTAACAATCAATTTCCTGTACTAATGTTGAGTTAATCCGTTTCCCTGTTTTCTGACATGAAAACCAGTTTGATGTGTTGCTGATCAAAGTTTTGAGTTTTTACCAGGAGAAGCTGCAGGTGGGAGAGAAAGATTATCTCCCAGCAGAGGGACGGCCTGAACCCGCCCCGCCCTGACATCACTGCCCAGCAGATAGGAAAGAATAGAAACATTTTTCTGTTCAATTGTTAAATAAAGTCTTGGATGAAGGATTCACTAAACAAGAATCGCCTGAACTCAGAATCGCAGCGGGAACTGGAGCGATTCCTCTGAGCGCAGATTGTAACGTTAACCAGTTTAATAATAATTCAGATTAAATGAGGAAAAAATAGGAATTAATTTTTCAAAGTCATATTTTCACCATGTTATTCATTCATCTATAAATGTCACAGTTTCAGACTAAATATTTAGTTTGAAGCTAACCATTTAGCTAAAATGCTAATTCACGTGCCATTATCCTCTTTACTGGTTTCTTGATCATTTCATGTTTAAACAAGATGACAGTTTTAAAGGCGGTGCAGATGTTTTACCAGCAGCAGAGATACAGCTCCAGATACAGCTTTTATTTTGATAGTCCACTTCCGGTTGAATTCCGAATGAATAACATGATAAAAATATGACTTTAAAAAATGAACCCCATTTTTTCTCTTATAACAGGCTAAATAACCCAAATTGTTGCTGTTCAGTTTTGACTGTTAAGCTGCAGCAACTGGCACTGAAACAGGACTGACCTGGAATCCACTGGAAGAATTTGGTGCTTTTAAAAATAGATGCAGGACTCTGCAAACTGATAACTGTGGGATATCATGTGCCAAAATTAAATAAATATGGAGAATCTTTTTCTATGGCATCAAATTCCATCTAGTTTTTAAAAAAGCAACAACAAAAAAAAGTTATTTCTTATCCTTCCAGGGACCCAAATGGATAATATTTGCCATTTAAAGTTCAAAGGTCAAACACACAAGCCTCAACCGAAACTGTTTCCCACCGTTATACTTTAATTGAACCATTACACTTTAGCATCACAGTGCGGCCTGCTTCATTAACATCTGAACCTCTATGACGGATTAGATTATTTTTCAACACATGCTATATTCAGCCACTAGAGGGCAGCAGAGCTAACATAAGGGGCTTTCTCAAACACTTTTACAACTAAATGGTCAAGATAAACGAACAGCTGATTATTGTTGTAGATTTAAAAAAGGAAGCTCAGAAAATCTCTAGAAAAAACCTGGGACATTTCTGAGCTCAAGAAGGCAAAAACTTTCAACTTCTGTAAGTCAGAAATTTTCCAAAAGTAAAAAATCTTTGACTTTACAAACTCAGAAAATTTCCAAGTTATTTCTAGGAAAATGATGAGATTAATGTCAAAATGTACTCTTTTTTCAATCTACAATGGCCTTAATAAACACCACTCACATTACAAACAACTCAAGTATTTCTCTAGCCACTTCATAAATCATATTTTATGTTTTCCACACTAAAACAAATCGTCTGCCTCTGGTTAACGCTGTGAATTTTGATTTCTTTTTACATATTTGCAGAAACATCGAAATTTTCTCACTTTGTTTATTGTATAAGTAATGTTGCAACAACAATGAACTTAGTCTGTATGGGGGAATTGTTCTTGAATCTTACTTTCAGGCTGAAAATGTCTGCTCTTGGGCAGAAAAATTCCCCCTGAAGTCCATTTTAATAACATTGTGCATACATTCAGCCTGCAGCCTGCAGCTTCCTTGTTTGGCCGCTGGGTGTCGCTGGGGGAGCGGCCACCGTCTCCTCCAGCGGCGGCCAGCTGGTGCAGCTTCAGCGGGGGGAGGACCGCAGTTAGACCGAAACTCCGACGCACCAGAGAGCCGAGGAGCTCCGAGGAGTCCAGACGTTTCTGCCCGCTTCTTCGTTGGTTTTATTTCCAGCTTTCAGCGCGCGCTTGAAAGCAGCAGCCGTCCTCGCGCTCCTCGTGATGAGGCTGGAGGAGCGTCTGAAGTGACCGCCAGGTGTTCGCGCCTCACCGGTGGAGGACTTCCGGCCCGGACCAGGGGACCAGAACCGGACTCAGCTCGAAGGTGAGCGGGGAGAGCCGCTCCTCACCCCGGCCCTGGGGGGAGGTAGACCCGCGCTAAGTCTGGGCTTTTCCACAGCTGGAGGCGCTGTAAGATATCTGATAGGAACAGGTGTGTGTGTGTGTGTGTGTGTCTGACTCTTCATCCCGGATTTTTGGATGATATTGATCTATAAAGGCTGCTCTGCTGTTGAAGGAAATCCCTGTGAGGCCATTTGACCTCTGACCTTTTTACTCAAGGATTTGTCTGTAACTTCCTGTTTGGGAAGATGAGAGGAAGCGGGAGACATCAGGCCGACACACAAACACCTGGATCAGCTGCAGTAGCTGTACATTCAGGTAGAAAGTGATTTAAACCTGGAAGTTGAATTCTGGAGTTCTTGTCATGCAGGATCCTGGCTGGTTTTGGTTTTTTCACTTTTTCGTGTTTCTTAGCATTTAGTTGTTCATGAGTTTAGGTTGTTCTTTCCGGCTGCTTCAGATGAAACCGTTTGGTAGAGCTGGGTCTGGTGTGACACTGTGAAGCATCTCCTGGCTGCTGGAGGGTACGGTGGGGGATTGGTGATGCTGTGGGCCTGTTTCTCCACTCAGGGAACTTTATTCAGCTCTTCTAAAAACACAAACATTAAATAAGAGCATGAAACCATCACTGAGTCGATCCAAAACATCCAGAAACGTTTCAACAGACAGGAAACGGACCTCAGATTCAAACCACATAGAAACTGTTTTTACTCTACTTATTTTGAAAAGTTGGATTTTCATAGACAGAAGATGTTCCTGTATTTAAGGGGCAGTTTTATGTCAAATCAACATTTTTATATTTTTCCCTCATCAGAATCAAACCTGGAGTGTTGCTTCGATTCTTTATTGTTTGAGAAATCCTCGATCTCCATAGCAACCATTCAGTTGTTAAAACGCCCGGGTGGACCTAGTCCCGCCTCTGAGGCACAGCTCCTCCAGATGAAAGGAGGAGCTGCCTAGTCAGCTGGTCATCTGGCTAGTCAGATCCTTCAGACTAGCCAGCAGCAATTAGCAAACATCAGCTGAGCTCCTTATAGGAGCTGCTGCTCAGAGCGACGCTNTTTAACTTCAGACTCTATTCAGTGTTCATAAGCTTCTGGTTTCAGCTGCTCATCAATATGAAAAGATCTTCAAACTGATTTAATGTCAATAACTACTCATCAAATGTAGAGACAACTATTCACATTCCTTAAAATATTTTTTGAACAGATAGTTTTATCCGTACGTTCTGCCATAACTGGTCCTTCAGCATTTATGTTCCTCCACTCCTCCCATCATGGAAAAGGGCTTCACCTTTGACCCCGTTTCTCCTGAAATCTACCAGCATCTCATTGTTTTTGCTTACGTTAAAGATGAGACAATGTTCCCTCCGTGCCACAAAGCGGTCTGCCTGATGACATCACACTGGGATGTAACCAGCGAATGGAGGAAACTCCTAGAGTTCAGTGTCTGGGCTGCACAGCAATATGGGATCCTCCTGCTTTGCTTTTCCTGCTGCTCTTTAAATCTTTGTCTCATTTAAACAGGAAGTCTGGCAGGGAGATGCTGAAGTAGGGGATATGCAGCCATGTCTCAGTAACACAATGTGGTGGAAAGTCTTTATCAAAGACTGAGCTACTGTTTCAGTGATCAGAGTGATCTTTGTCTTTAAGGTGTTTTTTTAAATATTATGTTTATTGGATATTTTGAAAATGTATACAGAAAAAGGAACTACAACAGGTCAGAACGTGTACAGATATAGAAAACAAAAACAGGAGGCAGGTACATAAACTACAGCAAATATTTGAAAAAAGTAACCCATTTATATATAAACTT